GAAATTAAATCCAATAGTGAAGAATTCCACAACCGAAGATGAGACATGCATTTTCCAAAAGATATCTGAATTTTAAAAAGATGAAGATTTAGCCTCGACTGAAACACGAAAGAGTCTGCGTTAGCAAATTTGAAAGGGAAATCCCTACCAATGTCGTTATATTGTTCTTCGCTAATAGTTTCTCCCAGAAGTTATAAGAATCGCAGGAGAGCGCCATTTCCTAGCTTTTTGAATCTACACCATAGTTTATCTGTTTGAATATATATATATAGGCTTTTTCTTTTTTTAAACATTTATGTGTTGCTTATTATTGATTTGAAGAAAAAAATTTGTTTTCCAAGCTATGGGGACGACTTGACCAAGTCGTGACGAGATTGCACGGTTAGCAAAGAGTGGGATGAAGAATTCAGCAATTTCATCGAGGTTCGGAATTCCTCTAAGAATCATTCAAAAGATTGTAAAGAATGGAAAGAGGAAGGACACGTTCAAACCAAACCCGGACGAGGACGGACTGTCAACACCCGAAAATGGGTGGGATTATTAAGAAAATTGACCGAAAAGATGGTCTGAGCTTAAATAAGATGGCCAAACAGCTAGATATTTTTTGCAGTTCTGTTCAATTGACAGTAAAAAAATGAGCTTGGTCTTCGAAGTTATCGTCTGTTTAACGGACAAGTTCTTACCGATCAAGCAAAGCATAATCGGAAGGAAAAATGCAAGAAATTACGAGAATTTTTCAAAGTACGAATTGGGGACGTCTTCTGGTCTGACGAAAAAGTTTTCACCGTTGAAGTGGCTACATGCTCTCAGAATCACCGCCAACTTCTCAGTCCAGCTCTCAAGAACAATCGCAAGCAAAAGATTGCCAAGAAATTTTTTTTACTGAAAGCTTATTGGTTTGGGGCTCAGTGCCTCGGGTAAGACTCCTTTGATTTTTATCGATAAAAAAATGAAAAATGATGTAAAAGTCTACCAAGAAGAGATCCTCAAGAAAGCTGTGGTGCCCTGGAAAAAAAAA